ATATATAATATATATTATATATATTTTCAATACATCCATCAGTCCATCTGTCCTTTATGCTTAACACTGAAGCTAAACCCATTCAATTTTTTTCAAAATACGGTATGTAAAAATAATATGGCTACGTTAAGCGCCACAAATTTTTCTGGTTATTTATTTCAACATTTCCTCTTATAAACAGTATCATGATGAAATTTAACACTTTTGCTTCAAGTTGAAATAGCTATATCACAAACAAAGGGATTTAGGAATATTTTGTTGTTTTAAAAGCATTATAATGTGATGGGAATATTCCCACATGCAGGTTTTCTGGCCATTGCCAAATCAACTAGTTTTTGTAGCATGCCAATATAACTAGGTGTAGCTATACTAAATATAATGTAAATTACCCTCTGACAATCTAATTTTACAAAACTACGGACTGAAATAAATCCTTTGTAAAACTAGTCCGAGAGTTGATTGCGGGCTTAGTTTTCCATATTAGTTTGGCTCAAAGCACCCCTTGTCTTTGCAAAAACATTTTCTAGAAAATAAAACACAAAAACATTAATAAACATCGAACACATAAAGTTAATATTGTCGTAAATTCTGTTAATAAGCTGACACATCCCTCTTAGCCCTATTGACAACAAAACAACATCTTATAAAATCTCTTCCACGCTGGGCAAATTAAACAGCATTGGTATGATTAGATTCTTCATTAAATGCACTATAAGTTGATATACATTGTCAAAACATTAAATTCTTCTGTAAGTGTAACTAATGATAAACTTATCTCGAAAGACGTTCTAAGGACAGAGCACCTTCAATGTGTTCTTCACAATAAAGTCTCCAGAGTGCGAATGCGCGAATCAACAAGCCTGGTAACGCGAAAACGCACTTCTTACAATCTCCCAGAGAGCTTGCTAGAACTATCAGTCGTAAATAGTTTCTAGCAACATAGGTACCTAACAACATAGCCGCTGCTTGTTCGTATTATCTCCACTATTTGTTTAAGTTACCTTATGTATCAGTTGTCCAACTACCCTGCCGAACACTATCTGAAAAATCGGAAACACATGTTTCAATTTTTGAAGAAATATTGCGGTGCGTCTCTAAGATATATTCATCATTTTCTAAACAAAATTCGTATTTTTTTAGGAAACTTATTTAGTCATATTTAAGACGAACCATTTCTTAAAAACTATTGCGTTTATTTAAACATTATTGTATTCGTACAGGCCAACGTTTTGAGGTTCACCATTTGCTTCATCAATTTATTTTAATAAATACAATAACATTTGGTTGAAACAACACAAAATAGATGAAAAAGGTTACTAAATATTACAAGATTTATTAAACTCATTTTAGTCATAGGCAAAATTCACAGAAGAATTATACTTAAAAACATTATTCGGCAGATACCAAAGGTCATAACAATTAAAATACTAACATTCCAGTCATTCTGACGGACTATTGGTCTGGTGTGCCAATTGTAATAAAACCGTTTTGATGCATGCCGAATAGTCAAAGAGAAGCAACTTAATGAAGGAATTTATATTATTCTGCAAAGAAACCACATTATGTTCTTAAAAAGAATAAATTTTCAACATGATCAACTCCGTACTGGATGTGAAGTTGACCCCAAGTAATATAAATGTAAAGAACATAGGAGTCTGGCATCAATAAATTACCAAATTCAGAAATCCAAAACGATTTCAGATTAATTGGCACAAAGACGAGCACATCGTGATAATAATTTACAAAGATTTTACAGTCATTTGAAATCGTCAATGCCCATTGTAGTTGAAATTCTATTGAAATTCTTTAAATATTGATATCTTAAAATCTTTTCAATAATTAATTAAAATGAGAGCATATTTCAAGTAGCGTAATAAAGTAGGAATAATCACGAATTCCCAATCAGTCACAATCATCACTTCTGTTATGTTCACTACCACTCCTAGCCACCCTCGACACTACTTCCGACATTGCGGAACTCCGCCCAGGCTGCGATCTCGATTTTTATCTCCGGGTCATCTGTAGTAAAACTGTTCAACGACTGGTTGGCTAGCCACTCCCTGCCTGTCACGGTCCTTCGCTCCCGATTTCGACTGTCAATAACTTACGTATTTTATTATGTGGACTTGAATTCAGTCCTTCCTTCCTCCTCGTCCAAGGATTGTACAATTGGTTAAAGAGGTTATGATGACTTAACAGTTTCTTTGCTGATTTCTCCGATCGGAAATTAAAATGATCGTGTGTCACCATTGTCAATGTAGTAGATATGAAAAAAAAGACTTCACCGCGTTCATTGTTTTGAAAATATAATTCATTCTCGTTAATTAGATAGCAGCTGTAATGCAGCTACATAGCAGTTATGCATCAGCAGATGTAATTTTGTAACCATTGTACTAATTTTCACTAACATCCGCAATGTTCTCGTAATTGTAGACTTAATGCCATTAAACCCATAATTCGAACAAAGTAATCGCCATCACTGCATTGACTGGTGTCTCCATAGCTGCCATTGACGTCTCCACAGCTCTGCTCACCCAATATAATTTCCAATTCTATCACAATGATCAATAACTCCAGCGTCATGAAGTCCACTTTCTCTGCCTTCACTAATACAATTTGAGAGTACACATTGCCGAAACCCGCCACAATGTCCATCTTTCAATATGTAAATTACTACCTTCACTGCTTCCTTACTACAAATTATAATAGACTGCTTTACCATTTCCAACCCCACAACTTTCCACCATGATCCCGTTGATTTATTGAGTCTCGTAAGTGCAGTGTATGTTTTCTCGGCAGGTAGCGGTGATCTTTCCCACCTAGATGGTGAGATCCAGCGCCGGCCTACCGTCGGCTAATGGGGTTTTCCTCAAAAAAGTATCTCCCACTAGCGAGGCACCACTTCTGTCGAGTCAAGCTCTAAGTTGTCGACTGGTCTCCATATGTGCTCGTGTAGAGTATGCAGGTGTGTCTGTATGTAAGAGGTGAGGATACGACAAGGAAGATGTCGTTACGGTACTGCTCTAACATTTGCCTCGTGTTGATCGGAGAAAGCACGGAAAATTACCGATCAGAGCAGCCATCCGCTAGCATTCTTCTCCAGTAAGCGACTGAATTCGACTAAGCTATCTAGCTAGTGTCAAAAATCTTGCCATCGTCAGGTCGCGAACCTAGAACCTCCCGGTCACAGTCACAGTCATTGCCAGTTCAATGCCATCATTTGATGAACTCAACCATCTCTCTCGGCCTAACCTAATTGTCACTCGTTAGATTCGATAAAGAACGCAGTTATTACTTCCATTATTACTTGAACTATCATCCGACTACTTTACACTCTCACTTCTCTCGGGATCCAGGTCTCATCCCACGCCACTCTTGGCACCTAAACCGCTGGTGGGTGCTTGTTGGGCGGCGGGCTGCCACCGCCACTACCTCCACGGCCACGCGCGTCTTCACCAAACAGTAAACTATCGGGTCTTATCTCTTTTTATATCGAGTCGAATTGAAGCCTCTTCACCAACTTCAATTCGCATAAAGAAACCTGGAAATGTTTCATGTCGAGTTGACATTGTTCGGCAAAGAAGGTATTTTGGAAAAAAATACGTTAAAAATTATTCATCCAACAAATTTCTATCCGTATTTCCTTTCATCAAATTTTGTATTAATTTCGCAAGTCTTAGACCGGAATCTCGTGGCGAAATTACACTCGCGAAGCGAAGCGTCTCTGCGCCTTAAAAAGTTTGAAGTTATAAATAGTTCGCAAGCTGATAGTATCACTTGGCTTGTTTCCGAGGAACTGAGCCGGTTGTCATTCGTTTATTACAATACGGGAGGAGAACCCAGGTATCCCTTCCGCCATTTCTCGAACATGGCATCATCCGGCACACCCACACATCCCCGGCGGTGTGCCGCTCCTCCACCGCCACTCTCGCCTCCTGAACCACCTCCACCACGAGCGCGGCGGCGGCGGTAGCTGCCGCTACCACCGCCACCGCCGCCTCCGCCGCCGCCACGCGCGTCTTGAGAGCGTCGGCGGCCGCGTGGGGCAGTCGCCAAGCAACTCCGAAGCGCATCGCACGGAGCGCGGCGAACCGAACGGAACCGGCTCGGCGTCCAACGCCCGCGAGAGAGCAGGACAGCGCGAACAGGAAGGCCGGTGTGCGCATGCGGTTGCTGCTCTGCCGCTGAGCGAAGGAAGACGACGACCTCAGGCGACTGAGTGACCTGCGCGGCCCGCTCGCTCAGTCAAGGCCATGGCTGCGCTCAAGGTAGGCTCCGCTTCTGCGCGCGACAGGTGTCTGGGGCGTTGACCGGAACTCGCATGCTGTGTGTTTGGGGCGTGGCGATGCAGCGTGCAGGCGAATTGCTAGCTTGCAGGGGGATAGCTACTGGACAAATGAATATGAAATAAGCTTTGTATAGTTTGCATGCGATATCTGGGCCCTAGACGACACTTAAAATGCAAGCGACTACCCGAAATTTCACAGTCAAGAAGGGCTCAGTTATCTCGTGCCAGCTCACATGCGCAAGAAATGCGACCTTTGTTGCAATCATTAACTAGTGTTGTTTTCGCGTGAATTTTCGTAGGAGCAGGGTGCCCTCGTAATAATTTGAATCAGTTCAGGTATTCGTTTGGGCTATAGATAAGTTCGAAATGATCTTTACTTAATATCATTCGTTCCAGATTCCACTTGAAAATAAAATTTCCTTCCCCGGCTACGATTGACCCGCACAAGTTTGGCGTACATTTGCAGGTTTAAAGAGACGTTATGTGTTCAGGTGCTCGTGTTTTGTTTGGATGCAGTGTACTCTTGAATTTACACTTAATTAAGGCTTCTATTAAATGTCCTTCAATGAAACTCGGAATTTAATATCACACATTTTCTCTTGATAAATGTCCTCAGCAGATATACGATCTCTTTGCATTCTCTAAGTTGTCCAAGATACGGTTTTGAGACATGTAGAAGGCTATTGAGGTTTTAAGACATGTAGAAGCATTTGTTCTGACGGATCGCTTTATGTGTTTAGGATGATTTCATGACACTTTGATGTCGATATCGATAATTATAGTGCTATTTTCCTTCGTAAGTTTGTGGGTACGTGACTTCATTAGATATTTTTGACCCCCATGAGGCTGTGGGTGGGTGTGAATTTGCCTGATAAGCTAGGAATATTAATGTGAAAAATTGCTGTTTGCTAAACTGTCGTTAGTATCAATCAATTTTACGACAAGAAATGGATGCCATCACCCGTACCGTTTTAGGACGACTGTTCGTGTTCAAACGCGTATCACCTTATGAAATCAGCGCCATAATATTTGAAGGTAAATAAATGAATGTAAACGAAGCTTCTCTAGTGGCTGAATGTTGTTGTTTTGAATTTACACAACGCATGAAAACAAACCTCTCATTTCAATTTGAGCGTACATAGAAAAACATTTACACAGTTATACATCTCGATATTTAGAATTAAATATTACAGTGAACATCGAAATTATAAAAATCTCTGGTTAACTGTTGGATATGCATTTTCTCAACGGTCTATAAAGTACATTGCAGTAAATTTGAAAACTTTGAATGCATCATGATACCCTTACTGATTGGAAATCGCCTCTGGTACACGAAAGTAATCAAAATTCTTCAATAGAAATATACATCAAAGCAGTATATATCTGAAATATGTTTCAGATTTATTCATACACATGTACATTAACATGTAAATACATTTGTATCTCCAAATGACATATTTTCGTTTGACAATAATACCTTAAATTACAATTTTTTCGTACCCTCTCACTGCTGGCTAATTTCCATGCCCTTATTTGAAAGTTCAGAATATTTTTATCTTACTTTTGCAGAACATTGTGACTAAGTAAGACATACACATGCTTTTATACATTTACTTTTCATTACTATTTCTGACTGGGTGACACTTTGGAATGAAAACAATATAGCGGAGTTCAAATAGTGTCAGGTAACTACATTTCAGAGCAATAGATATACATTTTATTAAAGAATTAGTAACCTTCTAAAGTTGTTTTGAAATTATGATCAATCGAAAAATATTTTCGATATTTGTATGATCTATATTTATCCTATTATCTTCTTAAATGAGTTTACTTCCTTACTTTATCATCATTTCTTTTGAAAACTATATTACTTGGGCTTCAAACTAAATGGTAGTTGATAATTGACATCATATGAGATGTACAATGCTCAAAAGATGCAATGGAAATTGTGTTTTAGTCATGTTTAAATTATTAACAAGAGGTTTGGGTACTAAAAATACATTTTTTCCTCTTTCTTTTCTCCATATGCATAATAGCAGATTTGCATAGCAAATAGAATTACGAAAACCTGGGAGCCAAATCTTCTGCTAAAGCTGGTACTTTAGACTAATTTTGAGGAATTGCCACCATCCAATTTTGGATATCATGTGGATGTCTTTCCCTTGCAATTCCGGTCGGCGATCATACTCGAGCCCTAAGGGGGGGGGGGTTCTGGGAGCTTTGAAGAGCGGGAGATTACGGAAGCTAGGATGAGTGGGTCGACCAAAGAATTGTAAGGTTACAAGTCAATCTAACGGAAATATAACTAAAAACTCGTCGTCTTACTTGTGTTTATGAATAAATAAATTTAATCAATATTATTAATAATAATAATAATAATAATAATAATAATAATAATAATAATAATATTGATATTATCTGTGAAAGGATAGAACCTGAAAAGACAGCGCATTTTTGTACTATGCATGTAATAAACTTAATACGTGAACTTGCCCCTAACACAGATAACTTTCAAACTCCACACTACAATTACTCCCCTCTGTTAACTACAGTCTGTTTGTGAAATGTATAAATTTTCTCATTGTACTGCACACAGCATTTATACAAGTCAATTTCGACTATTCACGGTTGTCTTGAATAACATGAAAAAAAAATACACTGAAATTCTGATTTTATTGTACTGCTGGTATATTGCGGGTGTAACTCTCACATGTACAGTTCTTCAGTTCAAGTCTGAAGATGAAACTACACAACACATCTATCGCCCCTGACTTCTCCACACGCACTTGGCATGCACATCAATTTATCAGTCGCGTGCAGATGTCATTCCGGTACGGGAAGAGCAATAGCTGGGAGGGGGTTAAAGGCAGACCCCAGAACAATTTGCAAAACAATTTGAGGATAATTAGGTACGTTTAAGGGATAATACTACATGAATTTAGCAATACATTAGAATCACTTTCTCCAAATTTGTGGTCAAATATGTTCAGGTTTTGATGGATTGTAAGCTCAGTTATCTTGAACATTTTCTACTTTTGTGGTTCAGCGGGAACGTAGATAACCTCATCTTCTTCATTTTTTTAAAGTTTTTTATTGTAAATAAATTAAGACTAGTTTAACACTCACTATGTTGTTCCTATTGAACAACTGTTATCTGTACCGAAAAATACTTAAATAAGATTAAACGTTTTCACCAGCAGGATTAACTGTAAGAGAACTTTGGAGTTACCACGAAGCGATTACGCATGACGACAGTTTCGAAGTATGTTGTTAATATTCTGCACGTACTGAAAGACAAAACTGTCAGTTAGGGCTATAAAAGGTTCTAATAATAAACGTCCTCATTGATGAAATAGTAATACTCATCGTGAATATTTTATTCGAATAATTTTGTAAATATCCTATAAGCCTTGAAAAACGAAACTAGAACTTAGAACTAGAAATCAGAACATGTAACTATTTCATTCAAAATATTTTGTAAACATTCTATAAACTTTAAAAGACAAAACATTCAGTTAATATCGATCTTTGAAGGAAGAAACTATCACTTCTAATAATGACCTAAACAATGAAGTTGGTACTCGTGACATTCGATTTATTTTGTAAACGCCCAATAAGCGTTGAAAAACGAAACTATCACATAGACTTAAAAGAGGTTCTAACAATAAAATCCCAAACGATGGAAAAGTAGCTCGTCACTTAAACAAAGACAAAGAAATGAAATTACTGTCGGGTCTATCTTCGACCTCGGTCTCGGCATGTGGCTGTTAAAACGAGCGGCTCCCAGCTCCGCGCGTCGCCCGATCGTGCGTGCACCATTTCTCGCGCGTCGTGACCGCGGGCGCCGCCGCCGCGTGGCGACCCCGTTCGAGGCTCGGCAACGCCCGTTGCGGAGCGGCGCGGCGCGCGGGGCACAGCGGCGCCCGCGCGGCGCGAAGCCAACCTTCACAGAAGTGAAATCCACGAATGCGGCCTTTCCCTGAAGGCGCGCTCGATATACGGCGACGCCGGAGCCGGCGACTGAGTTGGCGCGGCCAGGAACAATGAGCCATAAACGCCGAACTCGTTTCGGAAGCTGGCGAGCGCCGCCGCGGCGCGGCGCCGACGACGCCGGGCGTCGAAGTCAGGACGGCTTGTTGTGTGTGTTATCTAGGCTGTCGCAGACGAGTCGTTTCACTGACATGGTGGTTGACGTTTCGGCCAGAGTATTGTGACCTTCCTCAGAGCGTACTGCTGGGCGAAATGTTAGCCTCCATGTCAGGGTCGCTGCTCGACCGCGATAGCCTAGATAACACAAACTCCGGCCGCGGAAGCCTACACAATCATAGGCTTTTTGGGTGTGTTTTGAGGGTACGAAAAACGTCAGTTGCGTAAACGGCTTGAAATGAAACATACAGAAATGAGATAGCCGGCTCGGATAGCTGAGGTCTCTAAGTCTGAAGGGCCGGAGCTGCCTCGGCACGAAGGGTCGCGGGTTTGAATCCAGTCTCCGGCATTGATGTTTGCGTGTGTTCGTGTTGTTCTTACGTGTTCCTCCTACAGTTCTCCTTTCAGATAGAAAAAACAGTCGTTGCTAAATAACCAAGCTGTTAAAAAGAGACCTTAAAAATTAAATGATGTGCGTCCACTTCCGATAGGATGTAAGAAAGACTTATCAAGTTGGTTTTCCAGTGGCTATCGATAGCACACATTGTAAGACTACGCCAGTTTTTTGTTCTGCTCACGTCTGACCTCTACCTACCTCACCGTCACACACTGTGCTCACCGCTCAAGATGTGTTCATCCTGCTCATAAAATTCAGTAGATGGCAGTTCATGGGAGACGTTTCCCCTTTTGGCAACATGGGCACTTTCGTGTATTGACGATTAACACACAAAGAAGCATAGAAGATGACAGTTCCTCTTCAGAACGACGTCAATATCAATCATTCACGTGTACATAAGAGCGCGTGCACTTTTACAAACTCTGATCAAAATAAAC